GTTATTACAATGGAATAAACATACTAATTGAAAATTGAGGCTGACCTTTGTGATTTAAAATAACCATCCACTTTTATTACCTAAAAGTGGCCAGAAAAAAAAATCATAGGGGTGCCCAAGTTTACCTCTGGGGCAAGGGAGACAAACTAGCCCCACTGAAAACAGAAAAGGGGCCGAGGAGATGAGAATAATGTTACTTTTGTGTGTTTTTAAAAATATTTTATTTATTTATTTTTAGACAGAGGGGAAGGGAGGGAGAAAGAGAAGGAAACATCAATGTGTGGTTGCTTATCATGTGCCCCCTACTGGGGACCTGGCCTGCAACGCAGGCCTGTGCCCTGACTGGGAATCGAACCAGCCACCCTTTGGTTTGCAACTGGGCGCTCAATCCACTGAGCCATTCCCGCCAGGTCAGAATAAAGTTACTTTTATGGCTACTCCCTGTAGGCCGTGCTCGCTCACACAGGGTGAGGGAGTCCTATAAAAAGCAGAGTAAAGAACACAGATTTTGTTACCAAAGAGAACTGAGTTTGACATCTGGCTCTTCTACTTCCTAGCTGTGTGACCACGGGTAAGTAACATAAGCTCTCTGAGTCTTTTTTCTACTGTAAAATAGGATTAATTAAGCATATCTTAAAGGATTTGGGAGGATAGATAAGATTTGGAAAAACACTTAAAAACTTACTGATTCTCTTCTGTTCTCCACTTTGTTATATATAGGGTGTGGTGGGGTGGGTATGCCAGCGAAGGCTTTCTGAAGATGGCCACTTCTCACACGGTCGTCTCCAGAGGACAGAAGAGAAGCAGATTGGCAGAGGGGCATCACAGGGTGCTCTAGACAGAGGTGGGAGGAGACTAGGGTTGGCAGATAAAACGCAGGGTGCCAAGTAATTTTTTAGTATAAAAATGTTTGGAACCCACTTATACTACAAAATATCCATTGCTTATCTGGAATTCACTCTAAATGAGACGAAGAGTTGGACTGCTCAGCTGTAGTGAAGAGAGTAAGCTGAACGTCACCCAGGAGGGTAAGTTCTGCATCGTACCTATTTTTCTAACAGTTTCATCGAGTTCCAGTTGAGAGGAAATGCAATACTGAAAGATTCAGCCTGAATTGAGTTGAAATGCCCTCCAGCCACTTACATACAGGGGAGGCAGTTTAGGGGGCTGGACCCTAGGACAACAGCACACCGAGCAGGTGGGCACCAGTCTGTGCCTGGAAGCAGAGAATGGATGACTGTAGACAATGTTCAGAAAGAACTGGAGGCTCAAGGTGCCTCCCAAATTCTCTCCCAGAGCTTGTGCCTTCCAGGTCCCTCAGACCCTGGCTCTCCCGTTGTTTAAAGGGATAGCAAAGGACAGGGCAATGAAGAACCCCCAGAAGCAGTTCCTCGTGGGGGAGGTAGGTGCTGGCTGAATGCTGACCAGGCCCTTTGCTTTGTACCCGTCCTGCTTATTCCCAAACAACAGAAGTGCTGCTCAGCCGCCTGGTAAGCCTCATTATGCTCTTGCCACAAAGTGCTGAGTCCAGGGGCTGCCCTGGCCCTGTGACCTCACCCTCCCAAGCTGGGCCTCATCCTGTGAGGCTCCCTGGGCCCAGAGGCAAGGCCAGGGCATTCAAGCCATCCATAAAATTCTACTGAGCATTTACCATGCTTGGCATGTATGTAGCCCTAGTCAGTGGGTCAGGTAGATATTATTGTCCTACCTTGTGCCAGAGAGACGAGGTTGCCCAGAGGAAAGAACACGTATGGGCTTTGAGTCAGATAGACATGCATTCAAGTCCCTGCTTGGTCGGTTTCCTGGCCCAGATCTTGGCCACTGAGAACCTCAATCAACTCATCCTTAAAATGGGTGTAGTAATAACCTACTGCACTTCGTGGAGTTGTGAGGATAAAGGAGCCACCGTGTGGTTCACAGTAAATGCACAGTAAGCTGTAGTTACTGTTATTAAGGGTAAACTGGGGAGACCCAAACCCTGCTTGGGAGAAGGGATTCCAACGAGCTGGTCGTTCCCACTTCCGTTGTTTGGGAATAAGCAGGACGGGTACAAAGCAAAGGGCCTGGTCAGCATTCAGCCAGCACCTACCTCCCCCACGAAGAACTGCTTCTGTGGGGTCTTCATTGCCCTCATTCCCACTCTGGGAGTTGCTGCGTCCCGACTTTCCTGGGAAGAGGTGGTGGTGGGGCTGGACGTAACCAACATGGAACAAGTGAAGCACCTGTTCCAGACGTCAGAGGGGGAGTCCTCTAGAACTTGGTTAAAAACCATATTGAGGAGCATGATGGTTAGCACTGAGATCTGGTCATCTTTTTCCAACTTCCATAGGCTTAAAGCAACTGAGAAAAGTGGAGGAAAGACAGGCGGGGCTGCTTATGACTCTGGGCATATTTGGTGGATATTGGTAAATTGTTTGCACAATAATACTGACCCCCCCACCCCCACGAACACACAAAATAGTTTTATTCATGTGTGTTTGGGCTTTGCAATTGAACATAGAAAAGCTTTACTTTTCTGCAAAAATTAAAAAGGGGCTCCATCAGCCTTCACTGGACTAACTCCCAGTGGGGCGCAGAGCTCCCAAACTGAAATGCTGAGAGTGTACAAAGCACAGACACAACACAAGCAGCTGAGTGTGGCTGGGGAAGCAAGGACTACGTCATGTGCCCACAGAGCCACAAAACCCCAGCATGGGATATCAGTAATTTATTCCAAACATATTTACTGAGCCAGGAGTTATGCTCAGAGCTGAAGATATAATGATGAACAGGGTAGATGAAGCCCCTCACAGCATGAAGTCTAGAGAAAGCAGCAGATAATTAAGCAGTCAGTTTCTTTATTTTCAAAAATAACTTTATTTTGATATGAAATGTTTATGTCATTCAAAACTCAAAAAGTACAGAAAAATATATAGTGAAAAATTTTATTCTATTCCTGAGCCCCAGATGCCTTAATTCCCCTTCTTGGAACCCAGTATTTCTAGTTTCTTAAGTAATCTCTGCAGCATGATCCATGCAATAACTGGAGAAGTACAGGATTCCAGGAGAGCTCACTGCAGGGGGACCTGAGCCAGTCTAGGGATTAGGGAGTGAATGAATGAACAAATGGCCAACTAAGTGTTTCCTGAAGACCCCAGTTCTAAGTGGAGGAAGAGAACAGATGAGGAAGAACACCAGCTGTAGACAGCTGATGCCTTGAGCCCTTGCACAGCCACCAGCTGGCCAGAGCCTGTCATGATCATCCCCAAGGCAATTCTGTCCCTTGCCAGCCATTGACCCAGACATCACCAATTTATTAAGCTGCAGAAATGTCCTGGGGTGGTTCACAGCGCTTAGCATCAGACCTGTGCATTCGGAATATTCTGCCCAAATCTATGAATACTTGTGCACATACCAGAATTTGCCCCCTGAATTTTGGTTCTGAGAATGGGGCTCTGGCAAACTTTGAGTCACAAGTTAGAGAGATTGGCAGAGGGATTAGGAGAACTGTACTGGGAAAAGTTTCTTCTCTCCAAGCTACTATCAGGCTTTCTATGATATCTGTCACCAAAAGGAGAGTAGAATAACAAGTAATAATAAGCTAACAATGTGTCAGACAGATATCTTTTTTCTCGGAGTTGGGAGAGGCTGAGTAGTTTTCTCAAAGTCACCCAGACAGGGGAGCTGGGATTCGAACTTACATTTCCCAAGCTCAGACCCCCACCCCGCCCCACCCACTGCATCCCAACCCTGCTACTCACACCAGCTGTGATGCTTCAACAGCACATCCTCTCCGTCAGGACTCCGGGGAAAGCCCATGATTCCCCTACAATACCCTCACCAAGTGCCCTGAACTTCCAGAGAGAAATCTTTTTACCCATTTTAAGGTACTATATAGGTACAGTACCTTTGGTCTCTGAGACTGCCAAGGGCTTGAAGCAGTATGTTAAAAACCTAAAAAGATTTACTGACTCCAAATTTTTAAAAGAAAATTGCAAAATGAAAATAAATAATGAAATAGCTACAGGGAAAGTCATGTCTTCTAGTCAACCATAATTGATTTAACTCTTACATGTTTATATATAAATACAGTATGACAAAGATTCCCAAGAACAGAGTGAACTATTTTTTTCTTTAAATTTTTTTTTAAATTTATTTATTTAGAATAGCCATGGGGATGTAAAGTGCAGTATAGGAAATGGAGTAGCCAAAAAGCCTACACATGACCCATGGACATGAACAAGGGTGGGGGGATTGCCTGAGGGACTAGGGGGTGCTGGGTGGAGGGGGCAAAGGGGGAAAAATTGGGACAACTGTAGTAGCATAATCAATAAAATATAATTTAAAATAAAATAAAATTTATTTATTTTTAGAGAGAGGGAAAGGGAGGGAGAAAGAAGGGAAAGAAACATCGATGTGAGAGAGACACAGCAGTCATTTGGGGTAGGTACCAAACCTGCAACCCAGCCATGTGCTCTGATAGGGAATCGAACCGGCGACCTTTCACTTTATGAGACAATGCCCAACCAACTTAGCCACACCAATCAGGGCCTATTTTTTTCTTAATGAAGTTCAGAATTGTAATAATCCTTCACATTTTTTAATAACAAAGACAAACACTTTCCTATACGAGAAGTGAGGTGCATTTTCATGTGTTTGATATGACATGGGGTCTTAGGAAGGGCCTGGGGTGGTGTGAGGAATCTGGAGAGGGACAGGGGACAAGCACTCATGCAGAGACCTGGACTCACCTCCCGGCTGCTCTGAGATGAAGACCAGCAGCTGAGGCCTGCAGCTACCAGCCTTACCCACAGTTTGCACAGCAGTGGGACTTCTCTGGATTTCTGTTTCCCTAGTTTAAACAAAGGCCTGAGGGATGCCTGCCCAGCGGGCTGAGCCACCAAAGAAAGCTCTGGGGATCAAGGAGAACAAAAGCAGAGGGAATGAAGAGTGCTGACAGAGCCAGAGGCCATGAGCCTGCAGGGCTATAAAGAGCAGGGCCACAGAGAAAGTGGCACCAGATGGAGACCCAGACTGTGCAGCAGGAGCTGGGTGAGTAAAGTCCCGAAGGGTGCTCTGGCCCTTCCTCTCTTTCCCCTGCAGAGTTGGGCCCAGGAGAGGACTTCGTTTTCATGCCTTGTGGTCAGAGCCTCCTAGGATGGCTGGAGGAGTGGGGAACTCTGCATGGAGGCAGCCTGCTCTTGTCACCCCAGCAGTAGTCACTAATATGGCAATAAACCACTTCCCTAGTCATCGTGGCTCCAATAAATGACAGGCTCCTGGAGCACAAAGAGAAAGTATGGGGGCAGGAGATGGGAAATGCTTATTCAGAGGTTCAGAATGGAAGGATAGATCACAGAATTCATATGCATTAGTCCCTGGGCCTGATACCAGTCAGAGGGAAGGGCCATGAATGGCTGTTCCACCTACCTGTCTTCTTTCTCCCCTCCCTCCTCCCTTATCTTTCTCTTCTTTATTCCTCCCACCATCTTTTCTTATCTACCTAATCTCTATGAGTCTCAGTACCCTCATCTGTAAAATGGGGATAATGATAGTACTTATCCTATAGGTTGGTTGTGGAAACCAAATGTATTAATGCTTGTAGAGCATTTAGGACAGGGCCTGGCCCAGACTGAGCCATTGTTGAGTGTTAGCTTTTATTATCCTCTTTTCTTCCTCTTCCTCACTCTCCTTCAATAAGTCTTTTTCAACGGCACCTCTACCAACCTCCCAGTGAACTCAGCTTGGTGCTACAACACTCACTCAGGAGACCCAGGCCCTGCCGTTGAGATGTTCACCAGGACATAGTCAATAGGAACACAGAGCAATATTGTGACGGATGCTAGAAATCAGGAAAGAAAGTAAGTCATTGCAGGCTGGGGAAAGCAGCAAAGCCCCTGAGGAGCTGGGTGGGTTGAGAAGACAGAGAAGTAGGGAGGGGATGGTAGCATGGCCGCGCACAGCCAGTCAGTTTGAGGGCCGTGAAGAGCTAGATGAGGGTGAGACCACACACTGAGGGGTCTGAGCTAGATGGTTGCCAGGGGCTACATACTGGAGTACGTAAGATTGGGGCAATGCTGCCACCTGTAGGGGGTACCTGGAGGCAGGCAGGTAGATGAGAGCTACATTTATCGAGATCACCATGCACGTGCAGGGTTTACCTGCTTTATTGCTTTTGATCCTTATAATAACTCTGCACGTAGAAGCTTCACTGATGGACGACAACAGAAACTCAGCTAGTGAGAGGCAGAGCCAGGCTCCCAACCAAAGTCTGTCTACCGGACTTGAGCCTTCTTTTTTCCCCTGTGCTCCGTCACCTCATCTCCCACCCCAGAGGTCAGGTCATTGGTGTGTGTTCTGTCTTCCAGAAACACTTCCAACCAGCAAGATGGCTCAAACCAACCCCATGCCAGGGTCTGTGGGGCCATGGAAGGTAAGCCTACCCCCATCACATGGAAAATTGAGGAATCGAACAGGTTAGTATGTAGATATTGCCACAGCTCAGGCCGTGCTTTTCTGTGAGATAGTGACTGACCAATAAAACATCAATTCATAGGGAAAGGGCCCAATCAAGGTCCATATAAGCTCTCAGAAGTGATCTCTCAGGATGTCCCATTTGGACAGAAGGATGACCCTGGGACCCCATGATTGATGGGAGATGACACCTACTTTTCCGGTTCAACTCTCCTCCGCACTGCTAAAATGATCTTAAAATTGAGACCCCAGAGTATATTATACTGCGGAGAAACTCAGAGCCCAGACATGAAGAGAGATTGGCCACCAGATCCCAGATAAGTAGCAGGACTCAGGTCTTCTGACTCCTGTCCTGAACTTGGCTGTAACTACTATCTGAAGTGGCTGATTCTCAGGTTTCCCTCAATACCTCTCTCCTCTTCGTTCAATCAACTCTGAGGCCAGTACACACCTTTGGGAGTTGTCCTGTAGCCAGGTTCAAGAACCCCAATTCAAGGCATAGAAGGGGTTTATTACAATTCTCTGTCTTAGGATCCTAAAGAAAGTGAGGCCAGAGAAGATATGTGATAATCCATAGGGAGCCCCTGGGACTCCCAGAATCCTGGCCCCTGGATTGCAGGAAGCATGATGAATAAGAGTCCTTGAGTCCCTGGTCTATTCACTGGACCAGCTATCTTTCCTAGCAGACCATTCCTATCATAAACCAATCTCCCACACCTCATGCATAGCCTGGGCATGTGAACACCACCAACCAACCAATGGTATGAATTCAAACCCTTCCTTCCCTATCTATATTGGAAGAGACCTCATCAGGCATCCTGGGCTGCAGCTAGTGATGGAAAACACAGGGTCGGACACAAGCTAAGCTGTTAACCAGGGCCTCTGTTCTTCCTGAGGTACCACATTCTGGCTCTCTTTTTCCATCCCATCTCATTTCAGATAACCGTCTACGACCAGGAGAACTTCCAGGGCAAGAGGATGGAGTTCACCAGCGCCTGCCCAAACGTCTCCGAGCGTAGTTTTGATAATGTCCGATCTCTCAAGGTGGAATGTGGCGCGTGAGTATGAACTTCAGCAGAACCTCAGGCCCCTTATTTCTAGTCCCCTCAGACATGGGACCAATAAAGGTGGAGGATGGGAAAGAAAAATGTTCCCCCAGACTCTAATCATTTCTGCGAGAGAGGCTCCACTACTGATGTAACTTCAAAAGAAATCACCACACATGCAATTTAGTAACTCAAAGGGCTAGAAAGAACATGAGGTTCTTAAGTGACTTGGTACTAGATTTGGGGGGTCTTAAAGAAATATTTATATCATGGGTTGGGGCAGGGACAGTCATCAGATCTGTGCTTCTGGAACCCATAGGTTGCTACTTAGGATATCCTTCGGAACAGCCACAGCACCCTTGAGTTTTTCTTGCCTGCAGAAAATAGAGGAAGCAGTCAAGATACCACCTCTTTCCAACTACTCCCCTCCTGCATGTCCCAGAGCAGACATCACTAGCTAATTCCTCTGTGTGAAAAGGAACTCAACCACAGGACTTCAGAGTCATGCTGGTTCATATTCAGTCTTCCAGGAATTTCCTGGTGGTGGTGAATCTCACTGGTGAGGAAGACCTTCTTTCTTTGTCTTCTGACTCTTGGCAGCACAGCTGAGGTCTTTACCACCAGCCAAAAGAAAAGACTTCTTTTGGTCTAAGCAGTTGCTCACCACCAAAAGTGAGCTCTTTAACCTTTTAAAAGGAATACTACTGTAAGGTGTTGTAAGTAAATGAGGTCTGGTTGTGAAAAATTGACCTGAAGGGTTTTATAAATAAGATATAGGTATGCGACAGGAGGAAAAGGAATCCACAAAGTGGCAAGGAAACAAGAGACTGGTAATCCATCAGCTGCCTATTCAACCCTTTGCTTCCTTAGGTTTGGCTGGAGCCAAAGCAATAGTCAGTCAGTCACTTTATCCTGAACCTGGAGCTCCAAGTAGAGAATAAGGTAACTTGGAGAGAAAAGAAATTTAACTTTAGACTGACTTTAGTAATACACATTACTCAAGCCAATGAAGTAGACCCTTTCAGTGGATAATACCAAAACAAATACCACATTTATAAACCTGCTTAGTGCAGCTGCCAGCTCATTTCCTACTTCACATGATAAGTGTATTTCTTCACACGGCTCTATCGGAATTGGCTTGGTATTTTACCCCACTATTAACATCTAAAACCAAAGGTGCCTTCTTCCCTGAAGCCAGGTAGACTCTGAATACCACGAACAAACACCACTAACTGTCTTTGGCAGCTGGATTGGTTATGAGCATACCAGCTTCTGTGGGCAGCAGTTTATCCTGGAGAGAGGAGAATACCCTCGCTGGGATGCCTGGAGCGGTAGCAATGCCTACCACATTGAACGTCTCATGTCCTTCCGCCCCATCTGTTCAGCTGTGAGTGTCTGAAATTTTCACTTCTGTACATGTGGGGAATGTGGTAGGAAGAAAAGTTAAAAAAAAAAAAAAAGAAAACCACTGGTCCACTGGTCTAAGTTTGCCATTTGATTTTTCTCTACTAGATGGTAATTTCACTAAGGTCAAAGTAAAGGCCTTCCTATTTATAGGTGGCAGGAAGTGGATACTGAAGAGCCCAGATCTTCAAAAGTACAGTTAGTGAGGGCCTTGTAAAAAACTAAATCATTGGCCAGTTAATATTCAATCTGTGTAACATTTTACCCAGAAACATATAAGTACTGATGTAACCCTTCAATAAGCGGGATAACTGAAGAAACAGACAAGTCTTCCAGTGTCTCTTACTTTTGATTCGTTGTAAACTTCTGGTTTCTAATACTAAGCATTATCCATTTCTGCACCAGAATAGGATGCTTCTAAAGTCCTTGGAGAGTTCAAGCCGAAGTAGGGTGATCAAAGGTTTGTTGAAAATGATCCCTACATTGGGAGAGTGAGGTTGAGCTACCACCTTTCCAAATATTCCTCTATATCATGTGATTTTCTCACGATTTTAGTTAATGAACTCATCTTAGCTTGAAATCCTACCAAAATTCAAGTAGTAAAGAAAGTAACCTAAACAGTTATAGGTCAAAATGTACTGCTTTATCTGGGTATATTTGCACCTCACTTTAAGTCTGCATTTCTCCTAAGTATTTTTCAAACTCTCGAGTTTGGAAAATAATGTACACCAGTAACCCATGCTCTACTCAGATACAGAACAATTCCAACACCCCATAAATTTCCCTGATATGCCTTTCCAATCAATTATTCTTCCCCCCATTCTACCAAGAGGGTTAGTTTTGACTGTTTTTGTACTTCATACAGATTAGTCTCTGCCTTCTTAATGCTTGTGTAGTGTTCATATCCCCTACTTTAGGTTACTTTCAACACCTTCCAACTCATGAGCTTCCTTTCCTTATTTATTTGTGGGATTTTTCCACATTAGCGAATCCCTTGGTTGGTTGTGTGCTGCAAGTAATTTTTTCTTTCTGCTATAGTCTCATTAGTCTTTTGCTGCTCCATGGTATTCTATCAACTGTTCATTTTCAATGTTACAGTATTAAACTGGATTAAACAGGATTGTGGGTAAATGTTTCTTATAAATCTCCATATTGCCTGAAATATTTTTACATCAACAATCATGTACTTCCTTCTGTAAATCAGGAGTGTTTTGATTTTGAAAAATATAAGTACAAAATTAAGTACTAAACTTAAAATTTCTGGATTACAGAATCATAAGGAGTCCAAGATTACCATCTTTGAGAAGGAAAACTTTATTGGGCGCCAGTGGGAGATCTGTGATGACTACCCCTCCTTGCAAGCCATGGGTTGGTTCAACAACGAAGTCGGTTCCATGAAGATACAATCTGGGGCGTAAGTGCACAAACCGCATTGGATCACATTTCAAAGTAACTATTGTAGGTGTAAACCTTGTGAATATTAATATATCAATGGTCATACCTTACTAAATTTCGTACCTCAACATCATATTGGTACGGCTGTCACAATCTAGTTATTAGTAATTTTGAATCTCAAATTCTTGCCAACTCAAGGTCAGTGGTTTTTTCGCCTCAGTCTATGGAACCATGTGTTGATTATACTCTTACACCTTCTCTCATAAGCAAGGTTACTTTTCAGCTAATTATAGCCATGTTATCCTCACAAATGGTGCCTGTTGTATTTTCTAAGCCTAAAAGCATACCATACCAATTGTACTGAAGCTGTTTTGGGGTGTTGACCAGTTCCTAACTAGTTTAATAGTCCAATGTGCTTTGGATTTTCTAGCTGGGTTTGTTACCAGTATCCTGGATATCGTGGCTATCAGTATATCTTGGAATGTGACCATCATGGAGGAGGCTATAAACACTGGAGAGAGTGGGGTTCTCACGCCCAGACTTCCATGATTCAATCGATTCGCCGTATCCAACAGTAGTGGATTAAAAGCTCCAAGAGAAGTCAAGCATGAAACCTTGCTAAGCAACCCAGAATGACTTTTATGTTCCTCTCACAGACACTGCTTCCAAATGTTAGCTGAAATCCACAATAAATGTCATTAAAAAAAAAAAAGGTGTAGACTGAATTAGCATGGTTCATATAAATCACTTAGGTGGGTTTCAATAAAACCCCAAATTCCCTTTTGCGATTTTGCAAGTCCCTAACTAGCCCAAGCTCAATTACTCCCTATCTCAAATAACATTAAAGCAATAACTGAAATGTATCAGTCTATGCAGTGACAGACACAATTTTGGTAAATGTTTCTGCCAGCACTTTTTAAAAAAACTTGGTGATAAATCAATGCTAACCAAACTTAGGAAGTTTCTCAAATATGCATTACCATATATTTCTAAATAAACTTATGAATAAATCCAGAATCTCAGCAACTTATTTTGGTTGCTTAATTGCTTAGCTCAATTTTGGCTTTTTATTTTAATTGGAAGAACATAAGCCTCAATGTCATGTAAAAAGGCAAGATAGTTGTTCTCACAGCTGATTTTTCAATAAACATGCCATTCCTAAGCACCTTAATAATGTGGACGATTTTTAAAAAAAACCATGACACATGACCATGGCATATTTAAGACTTGAATTTATATATTTCACCCTTTGTAAACATATCGTTATCAATGTCACAATGTTAACTTAGTTTTCTGTAAATTTTGTTAAAGCACACAAAAAAACACAAACACTTCAGAAACTTTAAAATTTTTTATTCAACAATGTACACTTATTGTCTCAGTTGGATCTACAAAGTTCTCAAGTTTGTTTTTCTGATAAAATAAGTAAATCTTGGTATGGATGTAGAGTGTTTGTAATTTATATTTTTAAAACACTGAACGTGAAGTAAGACATCAATAAAGGAAGATCATCACGTAACTGACACTTCCTCAGAATCCATATCAGAAACAGCTATGGCAAATATCTAAGCATTTAGCAAAAGGGTCAATTTCTGGCCACTATTCTTTTACCTAGAAAAAGCCTATCTTTTTAACTGGGCAAAAGAAACACTGAAAAAACTTAATTGGGAGAAAGAAAAACATCTTCTAACTTAATTGTAGTCCACTAACTAACCTTTCCCCAGATTAAGAGGTAACTCAGCTCTTAAATGCTGATGCACAACACAGAAATTTTGCTCCTCCAGTATGATCTAAGACTGAACAGAAGTGAACTACTGACAGATACTGAGAAGCCAGAGCCATCTAAGATAATGCTACACTCCTGCATTTATGTCTTTTAAGGCCATGCATGCATTATTGGCCACCTTTCGCGCCTTGACTAGTAGACTGTTTTTAACTGCCACTTTTGGTGCGTGAAGATACAGAAGGGTTTTGCTGTGTTTTCAAAGTCAACAATATACACCAAGAGCACACCTGGTGACAAAGAAGTAACACTCTCCTATACACAGGAAAAAGCTGTAAAACAAGGATTTCTTTTATATCTAGAAGCATGGGGAAAATACCATTAGTATTATTTTCTACTTAAACTTATTAGCCTCTTCTACAAAGGTCCTGCAAAGATTATAAAACAATCTTTTAAAAGATGATTGACAAAACCTGGCAGTACATCTACACAATCTTTTAAGTACACATACATGGGAAGTAAAGCTATTTAATACATGCAGATTGCAGCAATTTAACCAAATCTGCCCAAATTCTACACTTGTTCTAATTGGCTTGGGCAATTTTTAAGACACACATTATCTTTAAAACAACCTGTGCTTAGATATTTAAGCAAGATGATTCTAATTAAGTCAATCATTCATTCCTTAAACCAAATTTACACTACAGTGACAAAGGTAAAAAGGTTATCCTACCTTTAAACCAGGTTTAAATCATACAATTGTCACAGAACTCCATGTGGCAAAGGTCCTTCCTTCATTTCAGTGGAATTACTTTCCATTTTTACTCAATCAAATAAAACAAAAAATTTCATTGAGTAAGTAAGAGCATCCAGCAGTTTGTAAAACTGATAAAAATGCCCTGTTTCAAGAGAAGCCCTTTAGTAGATACAAGTCAAGCTCTCATTTTAAAACTGAAGTTTACTAAAAGAGGTGCCAGTTTTCCTCTTCTGCTTCCACGGACGAGCTAAGCCCAGTACTGTAATTTTGAGCCATGTTTCTAAAGATGGTGAAGTGAAGAACAGCAACGAAATAAGGATAGGTCACTTTGGTAATGACACACAAATTAACTTTCAAAACATGTGCATAGCTTTATTCATCTACTTTGATCTAACCTTTTCATGGAGCTTCAGCAAAATTCGAGTGTGCAAAATGCATTTCTAAAACGTAATGCAAGCAAAGCTTTTCACATTTACACTGGCAGGAAATACAGAGAAACTAACAAGTCACATCAGGGAGAGGTTTTTTTTTTTTAATGACAAGAATTGCACAGTTCGTTACTTTGAGACAATTGTTGCACATGTAAGTATTTAAAATTTTCTAAGCAAGGTGCTTTAACAATAAAAAAATTTTAGGTTGGAAAGAGCCAATAACTTGGATCATAGCTCACACAGAATTCCAAATTAAAGTGGACTGTTATCTCCCTAGATTTTGCAAACAACGCTTTTAATAACACTTTTTTTTAGTAACACTAAAGGAAACAGCAAGCTGAAACTTTTTCAAAACACACAAGATATGGTGTCATCACATTATTTGAAGAAGGTGCTAAGGGGGAGGGAAAGGGAGTGAAGAGTCCTTTACTATTTCCCACTACAGAACAGCCACTAACAGACTAAGAACAAAAAAAATTAAATCACTTCCCCAGTTTATAAAATAGTTCCAGTTTGTGACAAGATCTATAACTTTAAACAGAGAGCACCAGTTGGGCGATAGAATGAGCATTTCATACTGCATAAAAATTAGTGAGGTGGCAAGAACCATCAACCATCTCAGGCATTACTACATGGCCTTTCCAATTTTCTTTTTAATATACATGCAAGGCACATTGATATAAAAATAGATCTCTGGCCAAGAAATATATTAAATAAGCAACTTAAAATTTTGGCTTTGCAATATTGGCAACATCAAAATATAACCAGATAGCTTTGGACCACATATCTTTCTCATATTCCTCCACCCCATTTGGTGTTTTTTTTCCTCCTTTTTTGGGTTTAATTTCCTTCAAGTTTGGATATGTGCTTGAAAAATTACTTTTCTCTCATCAGGTAGCATTCCTACTATACTCATTTATCTTTGTTAAGCAAAAATATACTAGAGAAGCAGAATAGTTGGGAGTTCTGATTGATTTGATTAAGCTAAATCTGATTGGCTTGGGGCAGCATTATTTCTTCTGTATGTGAACAAAAAAATAAGTCCTTAGCTTATATAGTAGACAACTGTTTTCTTTCTAAAAGAGAGATCAACAACAAACCAATGATATTATTCCCTTTAAGCCATTCTTCCCAACTCCTCTTTTTTGAGGCAGAGAGGAAATAGAAACAAAACTAGAATTAAACAATTTTCAGTAGTAGAAGACATTTTAAGGCCAAAAAGTGTAACACTAACAGAATTTTTCTTTTCCTAAGTTATTGTCCTTCATAGGCCAATACCATAAAGTTATTTATACTGATTCCCTCCCAAAGAGAATTTTAAAATTCATTCACTTTTGTTAGTGGCTGTGCTACAGGAAAGGTATCAAAGCAACCTATAAAGATATGGTATATCGTAATGTAAAAAGTGCATCACATTTGATTTTCAGTTTCTCAGAGCAGCAGCAGGATTAATCCAAGACACAAAACTGTTGTATTTTCATTCTAAAAATGCAACATACCTAATGAAATGTATTCAAGATCATGAAAGGATCCTCCTCCATAGAGGATAAATGAAACAGACTAATAATAGACAAACAGGGGCAAACTAGAGGCATTCATATTTACATATTAAAACCATTTTTGTTAACATCAAATCTTTACATCTAGCGAAAGAAATATTTTGAGTAAAGCAGACATTACTAAAGCAGTATCCATTTTTTAGAGCCTTTGTTTAGCACCTGAGGAAAAAAGGATATATGGAAAGCTATACAATTTACCTCAAGTTGGTTTGTTGGTCTGTAGAGTAAAACTTTCATACACAATGAAGGGATACTGCACTAGAAAAAAACGTTTGTAGCTATTTTAATAAGGCTGTAGAAAAGGGATACTGCAGTATTATAAAATGGCTTTATTACTCTGAACAAAATTGTATGGTTAAATAGGGAAGTCTGAATCAGCAATCCCACCACACTCGAGGATGGCTGTTCCATAGGTTTCTAGACCATAACCGCTACTTGACACTCCCAGTAAAGCAAAACCAATATACCACTCATGCTTCACTGGGTGATTTTATTATGCACACAACTCAAAACACCGTTTTTTCTTAAAACCCTTGGGTAGCAAGACTTTGAAATTTGAGTAGAGCCAATGATTCATTATTTTTTAAAACCAACCCAGGGTGGTCCTGGTTCTCACATCTGAACAGACTTAAGTACATTTAAAAACATTTTATGATACTCAGAGCAGAAGCCCATCTTTCTCACCATAAAAGAATCCTGGCGCTCTATTAATTACATTAACAAAAAAGAACATCAATATTAAAAACTAATGATAACTTATGTGTCTCTGTAAACTTAGAGCAGCTATTATTCTTCTAGTCTTGTCCTCTGCCCCTCCCCTTTAATTAAATATGAACATTTTGGGAAGATGAGCAAATCCTACCCTTTCTTTTAAAATTCAGCAGGACTACCTAGGACTTACTAAGACATTGCCTGATCACATTCTACCTCAACTGATGCAGGGTCAACAGACCTATCATAAAAACTATTGTCCAAAATATTTACTTGTCCCACTACAGTGTCTGTTTTGCAGTTAGCATAGATACAAAAGAGGGATCATGCATTATTTGAGAATATGGTCCAGTGGCAAAACTATACTCATAATCCTTGGAAATGAGACTTTTAATCAATTTCTCTAAAGAAAGCCTGGAAAGAATGACTCCTCATTTAGCGCAATGTAAAATCAAGTGCAGCCTTCTTACAGATTTCTTTGCCTGTGGCCACTTGGTACAAGACATTCAACTTCATAACTAAATGGCTTTTTCATTGTTTAAAAAAAAGTTTACCGCCAAAGATAAACCATTAGATGCCTCCAATTGGGTTAGCAATAAACCTAATGACTAAGCATGAAACCACCACTGCCTTTGTAATGTTCTGTCAATGTATTTTATATTGTGGACAACATTCATAATTGAGGTTTGTCATATTTTCCCTAGAAACTGTTATTTGAAAAAACAATGTAGCACTTTTTTTTTCCTTTATAAGGTTTTTGCAGATTCTGAGTGATGACTAAGTAAGCAGATTAAGAACAAAATTCTAAAATGGAGAGAACCTTTCCAGCCATTTATTTCAA